CGCGACTCTCGCAGTTCGCCAGCGCCTACCATTCCTGGGTCCTTGTGTTGGATACATGTTTTTTTTTTACATATTTCTTGTAGTAAAACCCCCATAAGGAATAAGAATGATAATGATTTTTAATATGGCCCCAGCAGGGCACCAGATTCAAGGAGGTCGAAATCGAGATTCTGGGGGGGTTTGGGTTTTGCTGGAGATCACCAGGCAAGGAGAGTCGAATCTTCAAGGCTTTAAAGGGTTTTGGGTTTTTTCAGTCTTTAGGTTTCATATGGGCTCTAGGGCCTCTAGGGAGTTCGGGAGACCTGGCTGTAAAGTTTAAGGAGGGTCTAGGGTTTTCCGGAGTTCCGAGGGTGTACGGGTTTTAAGATTCAGGGTTTTAGGGCGTACCGCCTTCGGGAATTTAGGGTTTAGGGTTTACGGTCTTGCCGCTTCGAGTCCTTGCGGCTGGTGCGCGAATCCTGTGGTGGGCAAATCCTCCGCTTTCAGTGCCCGGATCCTGCGCGCTAGTGTCCAAATCCGCCTCCCTAGTGCACGAATCCGCGGTGCAGGGAGCCAGCCTAAGATCCCAATATCCCAAACCACAAGACTTTCAATATCTGTCAATGCGCATGCTTGAAATGCCACAGTTTGGATACCCCTCTACCACGACTTAATGTGTCTATAAAAGGAACTGCACACCGAGGCGGGTTGCGGACACACCCGATTGTCTCCAATAGTAGTGCTGACCAAATTGCTATTCCTCCCCTCGTACCTCATCTCGGAACCCTCACGGTTTCGGGTGGAGTTGTGGGCCCATGCTGTTGAACTGTTGGTGAATGCGACAGGAGCGCGGTCGCGCGGATCTCGGCGATTGTAAAAGGTCAAGAAAGTTTAAAGAGTTGCTTAAAAGGCGAAGCGTCTTTGCATCACACAAAGGCGAGCGCTACTCGCGCCATGATTGGATGGGATCACTGCGGCAGGAGACGCAGGGCTCGTCAAGGGCCCAGCTCCCGTCGATTGCCGGCCGGAGAGCATCTTGTTTCCCCGTAGCAAACCAGGCAGACATGGGGCAAGCAGTTTCATCCGACGGCAGGGGCCTTGGAGTCCATAAAGCCTCTTCAGGCCTCAACGTGCATCATTGGACAAGATCACAGGTGAATGGAGATAATTTAATTTCTTGCAGCGGTCCAATGGCTTGTGGAGGCTTGCAGTTGCCGGAAAGACCTGCCAGTGTCCAGTATCTATTCGTTTAGCGGTGCATAACAGTGGATGTTCCTGGGTGGGGCAGCTCCAGAAATCTCTGGAAGTGTTCTGAACACCTACTCGCTCTTCGCTCTTGCTCTTGCAGTTCAAGTTTAAACGTCAGGCCTGCGGAGGGCCTTCACTGGGGTTCGGTTGTGTTGACATGTGAGCTGTTATGGCCGTCTCGGGTCTGGCATCTTCATGTCAATGTTTCTCCGGGAACGCAGAATTATTTAGTCTCGAGCCAGCGATTCTCGAACTAGCCAGCCACGCTGCGCTGCTGCTTAAAGCTACTCAGCTGGAAATCTGCAGCTCTTCTGAGTTAAAGCCTCTCAGTGTGGTCCTCGTCTCTTGATCCGAGGTTGTCGACATGTCCTTCTTCACTCAGCTGTCGGAGGCACTGACCCTGTGCAGCCGGCCGCAGGTACGCCCTGTTCGCACGGCTGCTGACCCTCCTATGGAGCCCAAGGAATCCTTGCGCCTTCTGAAGGCGCGCCCACGCTGAGAGAGTGTAAAGAGTGTCTGCTGAGGGTTCGGAGAGATGCGCTTTTGGAGGACGGGAATCGCCGCTTCGTGGAGGGTCGGACATTGGCCAGCCGGGCAAGTCCTGGGATGCTCCAAGAGCTGGTAGAGCTGGGCCAGGCCCCGCATACAGCGATCATCGGCTGCGCCGACTCGCGGGTTCCACTGGAGACCATCTTTGACACGATGCCAGGCAAGGTCTAGGTCAGTTTAGGTCTAGGTATGTCTAGGTCTAGCTCATGCCTTAGTCCTAGGCAAGCGTCAGCGTCCTTCTTCGAGGCGACATCTTCGTGCTCCGCAACGCGGGCAACACTTGTACACATGCCGAGGGCAGCATCGTTGGCAGCTTGGAGTACTGCACTGGCAACTTGGGCACCCGACTGGTGCTGGTGCTGGGCCACACAAAGTGTGGAGCCGTCTACGGGGCAACGAAGACATTTCTGAATGCCCAGGCTGCGCCCAAGAAGGCTGGCTCTGCACTCCAAGGACTTCTGCAAGACCTTGGTGCAGTAGCTCATCAGGCCCAAGAAGAAATGGGTGCTGATGCGGAGGAAGATGCTATCGCAGCCCATGCTGTAAGGGTGAACGTGTTCCACACCGTGAACTTTCTGCTCAAGTTCAGCGATTCGATCCGTGAAGGCGTGCGCAGCGGCCAGATCCGGATCGAAGCTGGCATCTATCATCTGGAGACAGGCAGCGTGGAGTTCTTAGGTGAGAGCCCACAGCAGGCCAATCTGCTCGAGTCCACACTGCCGCTCCCGCCTTCCATGGCGGCCAGCCAGGCGGACCGTGGTATGCATGGTGTCCGCACTGGTGCTGACGGCATCATCAAGTCCGGTGCGGCTCTGAAGCTGCTCAAGGAGGGCAACGAGCGCTTTGCCGCTGGCGCGCCCGTTTCCGGAGCCACCTCCTCTAGCATGCGCCGGGCATTGGCGAAATGTGGCCAAGCACCTCACAGTGCCATCGTGGGCTCTGCCGATTCGCGGGTTCCCATCGACACCCTTTTCGATGCAATGCCTGGAGATCTTTTCGTGCTCCGCAATGCGGGCAACACTTGTACGCATGCCGAGGGCAGCATCGTTGGCAGCTTGGAGTTCTGCACCGGCAAGTTAGGAACGCAATTGATTCTGGTGCTAGGACACAATCATTGTTGTGCCGTGGCTGGGGCTACTAGGACCTACCGCTCTGGCGCCACGGAACGGGCTCCAGGCAGTGCTTTGGAGGGCTTGTTGCAGGGCCTTGCAGGTGTCGCGAAGCGGGCGAGCGAGGACCTAGGTCCAAGTGCTCAGGAGGCCAATGTTGTGGCCCACGCCGTGAAAGTGAATGTCTTCAACTCCATGAACTTCCTCATCAAATTCTCCGAGCCAATACGCGAGCTGGTGCGCAACGGGGATCTGGATATCCAAGGTGGCATCTATCATTTGGAGACAGGCCGGGTGGAGTTCCTCGGCCGATCTCCGCAGCAGAAAGAGTTGCTGTCCTCCAAGTGGTGCGTGCCACCCTCAATCACCAGTGGCGCGGTGCGCACCTCCAAGAGCGCCATTGTGCCGCCGGAGGAGGCCTTGGCCATGCTAAGGAATGGCAACGAGCGCTTTGTAGTGGGCGCCCCGGTCGCGGGCAAAATGCACAAGAGCATGCGGGAGGCTCTGGCCAGCGTTGGGCAGGCACCCCACGCTGCGGTGGTCGGGTGTTCCGATTCGCGCGTGCCGCTGGAGACCATCTTCGATGCTCTTCCCGGAGACCTCTTCGTGCTGCGCAATGCAGGCAACACCTGCACGCATGCAGAAGGGAGCGTGCTGGGCAGCCTGGAGTTCTGCACCGGTGCGCTGAACACTCGGCTAATCTTCGTGCTTGGGCACACGAACTGCGGTGCAATGAAGGGTGCCACGATGGCATTCCTCCAGTCGCAGAAGCCTGCAGCGAAGGACCGGGGGCGGTTCTGCGACCTTCAAGCGAGAGCGACGATTATCTCGAGAGTCTCATGCGAAGGACGGCCATGCCTTGGATGCGATGCTGAGGGGTCTCGGCTCCGTGGCTGAAAGTGCAGCCATGGAACTGGGAAAGGAGGCTTGGGAGCGCTTGGGAGCCTAGGGCCCAGGGTCCTGTTCTTCCTGCATGCAAGCCACGCAGGCCACAGGAGATGAGATCGCTCAGCATGCTGTGAAGCTGAATGTCTTCGCCACCATGAACTTCATGCTGCAGCAAGCTGGCTAGAATGTTTCTTCCGTGGTATTCGAAGCTAGCAACCCCGCTCAGGCACAGTGAGCCGATTCGCCAGAAGGCGGGTTATGGCGAGTCTTATTCCCTGTCATGTCGGACCTGAGCTCGCCAGGTAAAGAGTGGCGATTTGGAAGTTCACGGTGGAATCTACGACTTGGCAAGTGGCCGTGTGCAGTCGCTTGACTTGCTGCTTTGGCCTGCAATGCAGCATCGTTTCCCCCATCTTTCCACCCCTGCTGAGGTTTTTGGGCCAAAGCCCTTCGCAGACCAAGCTGCTGAAGCTTCCGCTCACTCCCGCCATCTCTCCCAAGGACCGGCTCTTGGGTGCTTGAGAGAGCAATGACTTGGACTTTTACAAGCTCCCACCCGTGGAGCACAGTGCTTTTATCATGTGAAGCTCCGTGAACATTTCGGAAATCTTTAACCCACGTCCACTCCAGCACCTTATGCTGAGTGGCACAGCTCGGAGAGCTGATGTGACGCCCAATGATCAGCGCTGCACAATGCTGCACGCCTGCGTCGCGCTTCCAGGAAGCGAACTCTGTGTGGTTAGTTTGCAAAGTCGAAGATAATATGTTTTTCTATTGGAGAGAGCGGTTTCAAGGCCGGACAAGCTCTTTCTTCTCTTTGTAAGTCGTCGTATGCCAGCTATTCCTTCTGCTTATCGGGGTTGAACGGTGGGATTTAGAGGAGTTCTGCCGATGCTCGCTTTCTGCTTGCAATTCTGCAATTCGATGGAAATTTTCCTAAATGGTTCAAGTTCCACACACATATGCATGACATGCGCAGTCTTTTGCGACCATCCGCTCATGCCAGAAGAGAGATTCTGGCCACAGAGCTGGAGCGCATTCAGCCGATGAAATGTCAAAGAAGTGGGCTGAGGCAGACAAACCAAACTTGCCCGTCGCCTGACCACATGGAACGGTCGGCTTGCGAATACATGAAACGCAAGAAGCATGCCTTTCAAGCACAAGGTGCCTCGAGGACCACACCTCCGAACTGAAGATCGTTCCAGGCCAGCCACCGCTTCAATGCCTGCTTCCTTCTCGGTTGCAGGCTTGTCAATCGAGCCCACTGTACTTTAAACAGTGCCACACCGTTGGTTCATTGCGAGCTGCTGTAATTTCTGTACCCGTTCGAACGCAGCGATGTGAGCAGGTCCCGCTCCCGCAGCTGTTCGTCCTCGCGAGAGTGGACGCCGCAGAACACTCCTACCAGGCTCGACCAACAAACGGCACACTAGATGAACGGCTTCGCAACGGGCGAGACAGGCACTCGCTCTCACGTTCCATGACTCCTGGCCGTGGAATGCCTGTCAAAGAGCAGGCGCCGCATGCTCCCGCTCCCGAGCCGATGCTCAGCTTTTTTTTGCCAGGAAGCTGTGGATCAGTACTTGAACCGCATGGCGTCGGCACCCCGTGATGTGCGACCGAAACCAGAATCATCTTGCTTGCTGTGGTTTCAGGTTGGCTCGCTTGGATTCGCCTCTGCGAAAGATCGCCTTTGGATCGGGCACTCCACGTGTGGCCAGAACCTTGGGTGGGATGCGGGAGCTCTCCTGGAGAGCTTGACTTGCCCGTGCTGAAGTCAGTAGTTGAAGACGAATGCCCCGCGTTGTTCAGAAAGCAAACGTGGCCTTGCGGATGTCTCGATCTCTGTGGTTGCAAGGCCGCTTCTCCTGCGAGATCCGCATCTGGTAGTTCCCATACTGGCTCGGACTACAGCCGTGACTCCAGGCGAATCGGTGAGCGAGTGCATCGCAAGCATAGAAGAAATGCCTGATGAGGCTCTCACACCTATCGCGTCCTCGCAGCCTCTCCAAAGATCAACTGAGCACCGAAGACAGCCCGGGCAGCCTTGAACGAGTCGGACAGAGCAGCTCGCAGATGCAGCGACAGGACCGGGAATGCTTGAAGGCAGCTGAGGAGAGGCGCGCCTTGCGGCACCGACCTCAGGCATCCTCAGGCCTTTGCCGCTGTTTTCTCGTTTTCACGACAAAGCTAGCTCTGTGGAGCTTGCGGGAGTTGTGTCGTTTACCATTGATTTAGGTAAGGACAATATCTGGTCGGTTCACAATAGTTGGGGAAGGGGAACCGCCCGCCACAAGGTCCCCGCAACAGTGTGTAATGTCCCCCCCCACCTCAAGGTCCATCATGGTCCATCTGTTTAAGCAAAATGGCAACTTGCATCTTGTGCTTACGTGGCCGAGTGCATCTACGTAGCAGGTTTCACGTTTGACCCCTCAGAAATTAGCTAAGCTGCCACCAGGACAGATCGAAGCTGCTCGTAGATGGCCGAGTTATGCTTACGCAGGGACGGTCAAGGCACCACGATACGACAAGGGTGTATCTTTGTGTGGGCCAGTGTAAAGCAGAATCATACTATCATCTTGCAGGCTCAAGCTTCATGGCACTGCATACCTGCTCTGTCGCCTTTGGTTCCTTTTTGTGCCCTAGCTTTCGTGGCCTCTTCTCAAGTTAGCTCAGGAAGCAGTTGCGCCGCAATCGCCGCAAGTACAAGGAGGCTGTGAGTCATGAGACGAAGCCGCAGAGGTGCCTAGAAACACTTGGAGGCTGCTCTGAACTTCAGGCCCTGCTCGGTGGCAACATTGCCGAGCGTTGCACCGAGCGCATCCTGACAACACCCATTGCTGCGCCCCTGGCAAGCGCTCTCAACGAGCTCTGTCTCGACTCCTGTTCGGAAGCCTAGGCCCCAGAGCTTCACACTTCGTTTCGCGGAGCGAGACTTCGAAGCACTTCCTGGCATGGCAAGCACCCCGTTCGTATCTCTTCACCTCGGCAGAGCCCGCTGGAATTCAAGCAATGCATTCAAGGCACCGAGCAGCGCGACTCCATGAGCACGGCAGCAGGACTTGCTCGCAACACGTAAAAGACCGGAAGCTGTCCCACGCTTCTGACAGTCGTTGGAAGTCCTCATCGGCTTTGTTCTCCGATGGCCTTGCAGACGGAAACAACCAGTCCAACAGCGAATGCAAGTAGCACATAGCGGCATATTCGCCGTAAGGTACCCTACTTAACTGCACTTTAATTCCCATTGCCCCGCTGTTGTTCGATTCATGTCATCAACCTCCTGTTGCTGCCAGCTAGGAGCCGACTCACGCGTGTACCTGAAGAAGCATCCCAATCCGCGAGAGCAGGTGCTCTGGTTCTGCGAGATCAGTATGCCTGCCAAGCTGCCGATCGCGGCAGCAGATTGCTACCAGCTTTCTTGTCCGCTCCAGGCAGCCATTGAGCGCCATCTCGAGCACCGCTTCGCCGCCTTACTTCTGGAGTCTCACATGCAGACCGGAAGAGTGTCAAGGGCCATGCTCCGCGATCTGGGCGCTACAAGCAAAGACACCTGACCTCTATCCGAGGCAAACCCCTTTCCGGTCAAGGACTCTGCAAGAGAGACACCGGTGCCAGGGCCTGTCCGAAAGCCCGAACAGCAGGCAAGGCAGGCCAGCCTACAGGCTGTTCGCATGTAAGGGCTCGAGCGCAGGCCATGTCAATTCCAAAGGGAGTCGAAGCTGATGCATGGATTGCAGCTGCGGAGTCGCCGGAGGACAAGCCAAGCCTCCAGCAATTTCCCAGTGCATTGGGCCCCGCTGCAGCCGTCATGGTATCTTTGCCTCAGGAGAGAGCTCAGCGCGCACGTGCGGTCGCACTTGCCAGGCACGGGCGCTTCGCTTCCATGATCTTTTTGTCGAGTTTCACTCCCCCATCCCCAGCAGTGGAATGCCATGATGTGCCGTGATGTATGCTTGGATGCACATTCTGGCGTCTTGCCGTGCCTTCCCTCAGCCATGATCGGGCGCTTCCATGACTGGCTGAGGGCTGTTAACACACATTAGATACCGGTTGCTTGCCACAGATGGCGGAACACAGTCATACGCAGTCTCGAACGCAATCAATCGAGACAGAGGCGCGACACGGAGTGGGAGGAACAACGCTCGCAGCTCTGCATCTTCAGGCCCATGCCGAGCATACTCCGAGCATGCTCCGAGCATGCACGGGCTGGACTGCAAGTGGACTGCTTTGAAAGGCCGAGCACTGGCGGGATGCCAGCGACCCCTGAGAAGGCGCGAAGATGCCGGAAGTGACTCGCAGTGGCTGAACATGAGGCCTGATGATGTCAGGGGCAGCATCGAAGTTTTGCTCTATGTGCAGGCTGTCGGAGATCTGCGCGCGACCCTGGCTGGCTCACCTCGCAGCCCAGAAGCCAAACAGGCGAGTGCTTGCCCGAACTGCGTAGACCTCGACCGGAGTGCAAATCAGAACATACCAAGTCTCCGGAGGCCTCGGCAGATACTTGCGAAGATGCTGAGCAGCCATGATGGAGCTGATGCACATGCTGACAGGCCCCCCCGCGATTCAGTACAAAGGTACCCACCACGAAGTACGAAAGTCGTACTGAGCGGGATGCAGTATGCGAGCGGCAACCTGCGAGCTGCACAAGTCGTATATAAGTCCAAACTTAGGTCAGCGATCATCGCGAGCAAGTTGAGATGGTCGAGATTCGATGTCAGCTGAAGTGATCAACCCTGCACAATTCGATTTAATTAGCACAACACAATGCATTGCAGGTTGTTGTTTTCACTGCTGGTGCCGGAGTTGCGCGTGCTTGGTGCTCCTGACCATCACCAATTCTTGACCGGTAGGTGCATGTCGTCCGCTACATGTCGGTACAACTTATGAGTTTCATAGGCAACTCACGCCAGCCTCCCTTGCGCTCCCTGTCTGCAGAGCGAGAAAAGAAGCCTTTCGCCTTGGAGTGGGGTCCTCCAGAGTAGCCAAACACGAGCATGGAGCCCTGGGACAGGAACTAAGAAGAGCTGTGACAACAGCTTTGCTGGACCGCATCTTCCACACACAAACCGTGAAGAACCTGAGACTGTCATCCGGATTTGGACTTGGAGCACTGCGAATTCGTGAGGATGAAGAAGAGTGAAGTCGTCAAAATCAACAATCAATAAACTTGGCTATACAATACAGTAGTAACATGCTTGGGCTGACAAGTGCGGTGAGAGCAGAGAATCTAGAAACAAGGGGCAATGCACGCAGAGCGAAGTTCCGGGCCGGACAGACATCACTCGTCACTCGCATCTCCGCAGGCTTGGAGCGCAGGTGACCTGCACAGATCAAGCCAAGATCATTCCGGTGCTGGAGGCCGTTGCCGGTATCTCTTTGATGGTAGAATACGGTCTTAGTACTAGTGATAACCGCAACACGTTTGCAATATAGTAAGAGGCCAAGGCACAATCGAAGCATGCTCTCGCCAGGAGTCGCTAAAGGAGCTCGACAGGCGAAACGATTTCAGAGATTCCACTGCGACGAGGATCGTCGTGTCATGTCGTGTCCAACTGATGCGAGGCAGCAGGGCCACCATGCAGAAGCAGGTGGTAGTATCCGCATCGTGTCCCTGGTGCCCCAACTGCACGAATGGCGGTCATTCCCTCTACTTGGCTGCGTAGCTTCTGAGTGGCAAGTCCCAATCTGAGGATTGGGGACAGGCTGGGGCTGGGGCACAACTGCCCTTGTCATCATACCTGCCTAGACCCAGACCATCAGATCCAAGAAAGGGAGCTGAATCCGTTGCGGACGAGCAGGAGGGGTTTGCAGCCTCAGAGTTTCATAACGAAGAGGCCAGGAGCATGCTTTAGACTTGGCTGTGCTTTCTGAACCTTGACATGGTCCTTGATTCAAGCTGTGCGGTCCGACCGCGGCTCTTTGGCCTCCAGCCATGGCACGGCACGCTGTCACAAAGCAGGAAGGTCTGACATAAACATGTTGTGCTAAGTGGATGCAGGATTGCATCCCGCATCGAAATCATGACTAATGCTGGCTAAGCCACACCTATAGGAGCTTTGACTCCAGGAGGCCTCTAGTCAAATCAGGTTCTCGTGAACCAGTCAACCGGAGATGTAAGCGGAAGCCATGGATGTCCTCAACACACCAGGCGGGCCATCCTCGCAGGACAAGATGTCAAACCGGCAAGTACAGAATGCAGTGCAGCTGGGCCTGCGTTGTGTCATGTTGGCCATTGTTGGTAAGTTGCATTTAACCCATTGAGCCTATCAGCGTGTGCCGTTTAGACTCCAAGTGACTCCAATCGGGCAGTGTGGCTATTGAAATCTGACTCCGCACACACACTCTTGGTCATAAGCGTGATACGTGCATTTTATTGTCGTAACAAGGGTAGACGGGGGACGCTGTAGCGACGGCGGCCTGTTTCCAGCATCCGTCTTTGATGTGTGTGTGTGTGTGTGTGTGGGTGGGTGGGTGGGTGGGTGGGTGGGTGGGTGGGTGGGAGGGTGGGTGGGTGGGTGGGTGGGTGGGTGGGTGGGTGGGTGGGTGGGTGGGTGGGTGGTGGTGGTTGTGGTGATGCTGCTGCTGTTGCTGCCGTTGCTGTTGCCGTTGCTGTTG